TTTTGATTTGCACTTGTTGCTTCACATGAAAAAGGACAGAAAAAGACTAAAATTTCAAAATTTGCAATCGTGTTGAATTTTAAGATAAAAATAAGAAAAGAATGTAAGATTCAGATTGTATTGATCATGGGGTTGATCTTAATTATTTTACAAAGAGGACTATAAATGTGTCAAAAGAACTGATGTGATTATTCAACTTTTTTGTATGTGTACATTTTTCTCTTAAAGGGAAAGTCCACCCCCAAAATAAGTTTGTTTCGATAGAGGCAGAATAATAAGAAAATCAGGTGAGTGAAATTTTGAGCAAATTCTGAATGAAAATAAGAAAGTTATGAATTATTGAAGTGTGATCAATCAAATACAAATTGGCAACTCTGTGACTTATTATACGAGCTCTCCTTCATTTGCTTTGTGCATAATATTCCATAAAATCATGTTTTTTTTTCGTTATTGATGACGGAATATATTTTTGTTCCTTGCAGGGGGAGTATAGAAACATATTTGCAATTATTATATTTAGGGTGCATGTATGGTTGAAATTTTTCTTGAGGGAAAATGAAAATTTTAGATTTTTTTAGTACTGAGCAAATGGAAGTTGAGCTCGCATGATACGTCATAGAGTTGCCAATTTGTGTTTGATTGATCACAACTTCAAAAATCCTAACTTCCTTATTTTTAATCGGAATTTGCTAAAACTTTCACCGACTTGTTTCTCTCATTTTTCTACTCCTATTAAAACTAACTTAATTTCAGGGTGGACTTCCCCTTTAACATTATTTCAAGTCATTTGACCCATATTGATGTGTTTTTTTTAGATATTTGGATTTAACACAGATTCTCAATGTATGAATTCATAGGTTATTTTTTTTCTTCTCCTTTTAAAACATTTATCGTTTGTCGTCAAATTGTGTCAACCATAGACACTGTATTTTTATAATGTCTCCTTAAATCTAAAACAGTTTTGAGAGATTTATGTCAGAATGCATATTCTCTGTGTACATTGTATTTAAATATTGATTTGGTAAACTTATTCCAAAATTTTCTAACAGTGATTCATGAAACAGTGATATTTATTTATTTTTTTAGGGGAAGACATTGCTACATGTATGTATTTTCGTTATGGAAAATTTCCAAATTGGGTATGAAATATTTGATATTTTGTCACTTTGAAGAAAAAAAAGAAAGAAAAAAAGTGCAGCTCAAGTCAACAATCATGTCAGACTATTTTTTTCTTGTGTGAGTCTTTCAGTATCATAAGATGTGCAATACTCTCTAGAGTTATTTGTTTCACAAAAATATCTTGGACAATTAAAATGTTGGAGCTTCTGCCCCCATTGGCCCTTTGAACCAATGACCCAACAATTGGTCTGGGCTTTATTTCATCCATTAGTGAACAAATGTTCTAATTATAAAAAGAGTTCCAGACTTCCATGGATAACCAAACCAATTTTAAGATTAATCAATCGAAAAAACAACTTATATTACGCAAGCAAAATTCAGCATTCTGAAAAGTCTCACCGTAAATATAGCACTTTCAAAAATATTCTCACTAAAATATTACGTATTGAAAAACGAAAATATTTTACAAATCAGTTGATTCTATTCAAATATGATATTAGTAAAACATGGAAAATCATAAATAGTGCCATAATTAAGCATAACCATAAATCGCGTATAGAAAAAATAACATAACAACGTAGATTCACGATTCAGTGCAGATAGCCGACACCTTTAATCAATATTTCTCTCAAATAGGACATAGCCTTGCAGAGGAAATTTCTCCAACGCAAAAGAAATTTTTAGACTTTATAGACCAGCCAAATCCCAATTCACTATTTTTTGTCCCCGTACAAAGAAATGAATTAATAGATATAGTTCAAAACTTGAAAAATAAAAAGAGTACTGGACAAGATGGCATTGAAAACGTCATAAACTACATTGTCGATCCGCTGGCGCATATATTCAATATATCTTTGACTAGCGGTGTTGTTCCCGATTGTATGAAGATTTCTAAGGTTATACCGGTTTACAAAAAAGGAGAAAGGGATAATATATGTAATTTTAGACCAATTTCTCTCTTGCCTGCTCTTTCAAAAATTCTGGAAAGAATAATATATACAAGACTTCTAAATTTTCTGAATAAAAACAGCATAATTTCTCATTTTCAGTTTGGCTTTCGCCAAAAACATAGTACATCCCATGCTTTACTTACCCTTGTTGAAAAAGTTACAGAAACTATTGAAAAATACAAGCATACTGTGGGTGTTTTCCTGAACCTCTCCAAGGCCTTTGATACCATCGATCTTAAAATACTTCTTTACAAATTGAACAATTACGGAATTTGTGGTAGGGCCTTGGAGTGGTTCAGAGACTACCTAACGAACCGCAAGCAATTTGTGTGTATTAACGACCAATTTTCTTCTATGCAAGATGTAGATTGTGGTGTTCCACAGGACAGTCTACTTGGCCCACTTTTATTTATTACCTATATAAACGATATCCGAAATTCCTCTAATATCCTTTCCTTCCTCTTATTTGCAGATGATTCGAATGTGCTCTTCTCACATAGATCCTGATATTTTGGTCAATACACTAAATATTGAATTAGACAAATTGTTACAATGGATAAGAGCTAATAAGTTGTCATTAAATTTACAAAAAACAAAATGTATGCTCTTCAGCAATTCTATAGGTAACTTACCACATAATGTTAAACTAGATAATACTGACATAGAAGCCATCACTTCAATGAAATTTTTGGGTCTGATAATAGACGATAAACTCTCATGGAAATGTCATATTGATAGCATTGCCGAACAATTTCTCGCAATATAGGGATTGTAAATAAGGTTAAGTTTTTTTCTGCCAACCTCCTCCCTACTAATGCTTTACTCGACATTAATTTTGCCCTACTTAAATTACGGTATTGTTGTTTGGGGTAATACACACGATTCTTATCTTCATAGAATACTACTTCTACCAAAAAAAGCTATGCGTGTTATTTGTAACACTTCCTGGAGATCTCATACTGACGTTTTATTTGTTGAAAATAATGTGTTGAAAATAAATTATTTATATCATTATAGCCTCGGACAGTTTATGTACCAGTTAAATAATAATACGCTACCCTCAGCCTTCAATTTAATGTTCATCAAAAATAAAACTATACACAAATACCCTACGTGCCAATCTGACGAATTTCATCTGCCATTAACTAGAACTTTACTTGCTAAATCCATATTCACTTACGCAGGCCCGAAGCTATGGACCATTCTTGATGTTAGCACCAAGAATGCCCCCAGTTTAAATTCTTTTAAATTCAAAATAAAAAAGTCTTTTTTGCGTAATTATCAAGCGTTAGCTCTCCCTCTTTAAATTTATTTAACTCAATAAAATACAATTTGGATATTTTGATTCATTTTTTACTGGCCTTCCGTATTCCAGTCAGCCTGTGTTGTTTGTGTGTGTTATAGGTAAGAGCCCTGCCCTCCCTCGTTCTTTGTCTCCCTTCTTTCCCTGTCCCTTTCACTCCTTCTATGTTATGTCTATTTGGTTTATGTATTTGTGCGTTCTTTTATTATTGATATACTATTTTTGCAACTGTAAGTTATAGGGGCTGCAATCTACAAGCCCAGCCTTTCAGCAGTCCCCTCCATGACCAACCTGTTTTATATGCCTGTTGTACACTGTGGACCAATTACAAATATATTGTTAAGTTTCATTGTTTTACTTTGTACAATGCAATCCCATGTACTTTATTTATTTTGTTGGAAATGGAAATAAACGATATGAAAAATGAATGAAATGAAAATCAAAAGGTATACATTGTAGGGTTAGGGATATGTATAGTGTTGAAGTTAAGAGTTTGGTTAGTGCAGGAGCATGTGTCGTACAACCGTTTGACCCCGTTTTGTCTTTTAATATGCTTACCGTTACATGTATTTGCTAAACCTTCTTTTTCTCAATGCAGGAAAAATGTGTTTCCTTCCTTTTCATTCATAAGAATAGTTTTCACAATATAAATCTAATTTGATCTTGTTATCATAATTCATTTCTCTTTTCATCATGACAGGTTTTGCCAGCAGGATCTAAAGTTGGGGTTGATCCCTTTCTTTTTAGATGGGGTAGGTTTAATCCCATCACACAGCATATGGGCAATGTTGTGCAATGTGCCCTGTACAACGTAATTCCACAAATGAAAATGCCTTGATTTAACTGACTAATGGTAGAGATACCTGAAAGCACCATTACTCAATGGTCCTATTGAGGGGTCGTTTATGTTTATGTGGCTTCAGGACATATGTCGTACAGGACACATTGCATAGAATCGTCCATATAAAGTTAGTTTAGGTTGGGAATCATGGTTGGCCTTGGCTATTTCAGAAGTTTTTATATTTGGTACACCTATACACAGTCGGTTTATTCCACATCACAATACTTAAAAAACTTTAGTGTGCCATTCATGTGAACTTGTTTGAATACATCCGAAGAAACTACTCTTAAACAACTCTCATTATTTTACAGGGACTTGAATACTGGCATTCCAGAGAAATATATCACTGATTTAATTTCAAATTGAACTAGAATTCACATACATGTAGTGTACATCTATTGTTATCTTGCATATCTTGATGTATTGATCAGTGTCTTAGAGTGCAAGAGCTCTGCAAAAGCATACAATTTGGAAAATTTTCACCTAGATTTGTATAGAAATTATCTTTTTGTCTGTGATAATCATGATATTGGGTATTATCTGGAATTCTTCCATTCTTGTTTTGGGAATAGTATTTCTTGCGACGGAAGCTTTAGCTACATGAATTAAATTCAACAAGGTGGTAATTTCTATATCACTTGTAAACAAAATGTATTTACATGATTATAATAGGCTAAGTCTGGGTTATTATTTTTCCAGTATGCTACTGACTATGTTAAAGATTTTACTACAGCCAATGATCATATCAAGTTATTAGCCATATTAAAGCTTAGATCAGATTAATTATCAAGAAAACTAATACCTTTGTAATTAAAAATGTTCAATATTCTAGTAGACTGGGTAACATATGGGCCACTAACTGACCAATTCCTTGTACTTGCCCAATAAAAAGACATTCTAAAATGTTTAAAAAAAAATTCAAACAAATGTTTCTTACCATCTGGTTGATATCTCCCATGCTCGTAGAATCTTGGAAGACATTTTCCAGCACACTAGAGGGCGCTGGTCACTCACTTGTACCCATCCAATCAAACCTTGTTGATCTGGTCTGGGATGCTGACAGGCCACTTCCACCACAGGCTCAGGTCAAAGTTCACAGTCTTCACTTCACAGGTTGGTCAAATGTGTTACGCACTAGATTATACAGTATTTGTTTTGCCTGGGGGTAGGGGTATAGTATACAAATGATGCACAGGTTTGAGTGCGTCGGTAGGGATTGTGTGCACAAGGTACCTTTGAATGGTTTTAGACCAAATTCAAAAGTACCGCGTGCACACAATTCCACCGACCCACAAATTAAACCTGTGCATCATCTGTTTTATAAGATGGGTCCCCAAAAATTGTCAAAAATACAAAATTTTGTTATTTTACAGATTTACCGGATGCATGGCAAAATCATGCTTTCCGGTAATTACCGGACCCATGACTTTGCCATAGCCATGCTTTCCGGTAATTACCGGTAAGCATGATTTTTAAATTTGCATAATTTGTCTGTTAGTGCAATGGATTAAAACAAATGTAGAATGACTTAGGCCTAAACCTTAACAAAATAAAGTCAGGCCTAACTGGCGTTGTATGCCACAGCGAAGGTACTAAAGTCTAGGTTTACAACTCACTGTCAGTCTATGTACAGAAGCATAGAACTTAGTTTAGAACGATTATTGGATGAACAGTTTGTCCAATTCTGGCGTAAAAATGTCTCCCAAATTGATGTTAAGTTGATCTGTGCAAACTTTTCCAATTTTGAGAATCCATACTTTAATCTTTAATTGAAATGTTCATGCTAGTTACATCTAAATCATCCAACAATTTAGATAATTCTTCTTCTTACAGAAGCTGAAAAATCAAATCGCGATTTTGCCATCTTGTTTTGGGTTTGGTTGTTTTCCTTAGTGGAGAAGAGAGAAAGTGCAAACAATCTGGAAATCGGTGTTATCGATTCCAATATCGCATATATCGTGTTGATATCGTGTGCATCCAGTAAAAATAACTACACAGTAATTAACCAATCAGATTGCAGGGATTCTTCTAACCATCTTATAAAAGGTGCTGTTTAGCATTTTATAACGGGATGTTATCCGAGCAGGGTTCCCACACTTTTTGCCCAATACAATTCTATGACTTTTCAAGTAAGAATTCCAGGACTTTCCATGACTTTCCCACTGGCTAATGTTGCACACTAAAACATTCATGCATGAGTAGAGGATAAACACTGTGATATCCATGAAAATGTTGTACAATATTAATGATAAGAAGGCCCAAATTCTAAGTTTTGGAAGAGCTCAATTATAAAGAAAGAGGAAAAGTGGTATAATTGCTTTGGTGAAAAGATATAGTCACACATGCTCTTTTCTACATAATAATCATCAGTTGAGGAAATTACAAAGAAGTTACCTCAGTGTGAAAAAACACATGTTCCCTGTTGCATTTTACACATATGACATAATTCGATGTATTACTCACAAAATATATTTCACAGAAATACATACTGTAAATGTACATTATGAATTCTTGATAGAATTCATTTGTTCCTCGATCTGTTTCTCAATTTCTTGCAGCCTAGAAATCTTCTCTTTTGCAGATCGCCGCAAACTGTTTGACTTTGATATGCAAGTCAACTGTCCAGTTGATTCTGCTTCCTCTGCAAATTCCTGAAGACTCTTTATGTCAGCATGTAGTCTGATCTTCTCTGATTTCAAGTCATTTAGTTCATCAGCAACCCTTTCCTCTTCGTTTCTTTTTTTGCCTTTTCCTTTACTTCATCAAGATAGATTTGATACTTTTGCCTGCCGGCTGCAGCCCCCAGCATTATGGCTTTGTCAAGAATGACATTCTGACTCCCCCCTACATATCTGATGTGATCATAAATGGCTGTCATTTTAGCGACTAGTGAGTGACCTTGCAGATTGTCTTCCTCTACTTGATTGTTGATAGAAAATCCTCATTCGATGGATGCCTGTCCATGTGACAGAGCCAAACACATGCGCACTACCTTGAACAAAGCAGCATAGCTAGATTGCTTTGACAGAAAATTGCAGAACACGGTGTCAACTCTCTCCTTCTTGTAATCAAAGTCTCTCATTTCTGGGTTTGTAGCTGCCCCATCCCATGCCTCACCAAATTGTCTCAGAATGTCATCACAAGAGTCATCAAACCTGTGAGAATCATGTAGGACAGAAAGGACCTTTTTAAATTGTTCAACTGATCTCACTTTGTCACTTGCCATGTTCTTGGGATGAAGCATGTAAGATTCTGTACAAGTAAGTACTTGAGGGGGCACCTTTCAGTGATGTTGCTTGTCATGGCTACAAGAAAGTTCTTGCCTCGAGACGAAATTTAAGAACCTTTCGCTCACTGATAATGTTCTTTGCTTTCAGAGCCTTCAGCTTCTTCTCTGTGTAAAAACCAAAATTGACTTTGCCGACAGGCAAGTGAATTTCCTGGTTGCTCACCTTCCCCTGCATCAAGTGTTAAGCAGAATGGATGATGGTCTTGTCCAGCTTCAAAAACCTCTGCATCAAGCACTCTGGTAAGATCTGATGCCATAAATGGCAGCATAGGAGCATCTGTTAGGTAGTCTGTGAGGTTAGGGTTCATCAACTGTGCAACTGAAAGGAAGAAGCTTTATATTATAGTCTTGCTGGAAAAACGGCGATCTTGCTACACTTCTGTACAGTATCAAATGATTTGTTGCATGGGTGAGAGACCTTGTCCCTTCGACTGCCTGCACATACTTTATGACATTGTTCCAGATGTCAAGAGCTCCAGGAACATTCTCAAGCCTTCGGGTCTTGCAGAACCTTAGCGGCATGACATCATCTCCTGTAATGCTGTGAAAGTCCTCCCTTCTTGCAGGGGTATCTGTGAAGAGATAGTACAGTGATGACAGGAAGCTCTCCACAGATTGGTTAAGTTTAGATTCATTCTCTCTACTGAAGTCCTCGTACATTCTCCAGTTCACCATTTGGACTGACCTTGGATATTTGCAGCAATATGTCCATGCCCACTTTCTGAAGGACTTTGGTCAGTTCTTCTCTCAGATGCACTGCGGTGCCATGTCCTATGAAGACTGATGTCAAGTAGCATGTGCGCACCTCATCATGTTGCCATATTTTTGGAAGTGTGTCCATTTGCTTTTTCTGCAGTTTCTGGTTCAAACTCTCATCAAATAGGATGGCATAATGTGAGGATGTCTTAATACCTTCATACAACAGGCCCCAAACCAAATACAGTCATGTATCTGCATTTTGTCTCTGATAACTGGAACTCTTTTGCAATTGCTGAATCAGGGAACATCCTCTGAAATAGGCTGTCATTGTGCTGACAGGAATGGAATGATAAATGGTCATCAACTACCTTCAGGCACCACATAATTTCTGCTTTTAGTGTATCCGCTCTTGTAGCAACAGCAACAGGATGTTTACTTTGGAGGTTGATGGGGCACTAGTGCTTGTTGTTGCATCTGCAGATTGTGTGGTAGGAACTGATGAACCACTCCATACTTTTTGCTTGAAGAAGTTATTGATTGTGAGAACAGTCGAGTCTGCAGAACAAGATAAAGAGGGCAGAAAAGAGAACTTAGTGTGATTGCAATAAAAAAAATATTATTAACATGCAAGTGCTGTTACCAATAGCATGGCAACACACTAACACTGGTAATTGTGATCAATGTGTTAGCCCAATCAGCGTAACTATATAAACTGGTAAATGAATGTACAAATCAAACCAATTACTGACAAACATCCCAGTACACCCATGTGTAGGTCATTACCATTCAAACACATTGTCATTGGAAAGCGTATTAGGGACTGCCTTCTTCACGCCTCGGTTTGTGGATCACTAACAGAATCACCAAGACACTATCAGCGCGTACCTGCCCACGGAGCCTAGCTGTCGGCCGGGACACGGGCAGTGCGGAGCTAACGTGCCCTGTCACTATCAGCGCCGTACCCGCCCGCGGAGCCCAGCTGTCGGCCGGGGACACGGGCAGTGCGGAGCTAACGTGCCGTGTCACTATCAGCGCCGTACCCGCCCGCGGAGCCCAGCTGTCGGCCGGGGACACGGGCAGTGCGGAGCTAACGTGCCCTGTCACTATCAATCAGTCCCTTACCCGTACCCATCCCTGTGTGCAGAGCCTAGCCATGGGGCCACGGGCGGTGTGCTAACTAACGTGTGCTATAAAAGCTCTAACTTCATACCATTACCTGTGAGCTTTGTTACGGCAGTGTCAATTAATTGTGAAGAAAGCACAGAGAATGGTTTTAAAATTGGATTGTGTGGATTTGTGATTTTGTTGAAAATTAGCAAAATTTACAAAAGAAATGCAAGCTTACCTCTATTTCGGAGTTTTGTCTTGTGTTTCTCACTTTTCATTTGGCTCCGAAGTGCTGCTGTTCGCCCATGTTGCTAAGGTTGAAGTTCACATGGCAGACACTAAGGCTGTGCATAACCGTGTACCGTAATGAGGTGCGCGAGTACACTCCCAGGCTTACAGGCGAATACTTGGCGGCCTTTTTTTTTTTTTTCTAACAATTTTTTAAAATATTTTTTTTTCTTTCTTTTTTTGCCGACGTTGTAGGAATCACCTCATAGTCCGGCTACGAAAACCCACTCTATTTTACTGGGAGTTGCAATTGAAGGCGTCGATTTGTGCTAATGAACTTCTCACAAATAATAGTTACAATGTTATTTTTAAAACTAAAGATGACAGACAAATTATCCTCCAAGTTCAAACAGAAATCTGGACATTGGCAGCTAGATTGGTCCTAGTTTCTGAGTGATGAGTGACAGTGACATCCCGTGTATGTTTGAGCTGGGAAACATTTTACTCACCGTACCCTGCCGGTGCTTTTTCGTGCACGGGTGAGCTTCGGCCGGCCGACACTGCCAGGTGGAGAAGAAAAAAATTGGCAAAAAAATTGGCAAAAAATAAATAAATGCTACTGTGTATTCAAGTACGAGAAATTGTACTTGAGTAGTTGTCAGCAGTGCAAGTATACCCAGTATTCGAGTACTCGTCGCAGCCTTAGCAGACACTACATCTAGCTGTTCCTAGATGAGAACTTACTTTCAAAAGCCACTCGCCGTATGTTGGATTATCTAACGAAGCATCATGAAACCGGCAGTTTCCTGGCATTTTGAATTTAAGTAACAGTTACTCTGAAAATAACGCCCGTACAAACGTATCGTGCAAATTCAGCGTCAATACCAATACCATACCATGCACTGCACCATATTGTATATCAGGCACTGTAAAATATCAGGCCAGCAAGCAGTACATGCGCACTTGTGCTCAGGAAGGGATTATCTCAAAATATCTTGAGGTAGATCGACAGTTGGAAAAATGGCAGCTTGTCCTCACAAGTGATTAATCTTTGTTTTCAAGCTTAAACAGTCTTGGTAATGGTAACTTAAACATTTTAAAAGATTCATACAAAATTCATACAAAATTAGCCCTGTCTATGAATTGCCCCTGTTGTGATGCACTGTACCTCAACTTTTTTGGGGGTATTTTTAGGGGATCCCCCTAAAATACGGAATTGCAAATCGCATTCGGCAACCCCGCATGTCGCACACAGTGCACACATCAATCCTCGTGTATTTTATAGACACACAGTAAATCACACAACTGCGTATACATTCATTCACACACTCACATTCTGGCAAACCATGTTCATGTCACTCATTCTCAGATGAGATTTGAAAGAAAACATGGAAACAAAGTGCTGGTAATAAGAAAGAATTTTATTCATTTTACACATCTGAAGATAATGACAAAATAACAAATGAATTGCCATAAATGTTGTAATTCCATCACTTTCAATTCCAGGACCCATACAAACCCTATATCTCTATATGGTCTTTTCAGGGTAGTAGCCTCATCAATATTAACACTGCTCTTCCTGAGGGCTCTGCTGTTATATTTTTGTCCCAACTTTGCCAAGCACTCATTTCACACAGCTAGGTTTGAGAGGGACAAATTGGGGTACGGGTAAACACTTTTGAAAATTGTTGATATCATGGTTTTGGGTAAATTTATACTTAAAAAAAAAAGATATTGTCTGATCCCAGCAATTCTGTATTAGTTATGATTTTTTGCATTATGGGATCATTATGACATTTTTGTCACTCATTTCAAGATATGAATTTAATAGATAGAAATCAATTTTAAAATGTCAGATTATCTATTTGTCAGGTCAAAGTTCAGCAGAGAAAGTGGCTCAGATTAGAAGGAAGATGGCGAAGGTTCGTGTCCAGAATCTTATCCTGACTGCCCTTGATGAAATAGCATGTGAGTAGAGGCAAAATAAGATTAGTATACCTGCAATGCTAATAGTGATGATAGGAATAATAATAATATTAGCAATAGCTATATTAACATTGCGCATCTATCCCTCCTAGGTGGAATTCAAGACACCTATTATTACACTGGCTTTAGCCCAGTTGCTCAAAAGCACTTGAAGCATTCAAGGAATGAATTCTTACCAGGTACCCATTTACTACATCTGGCTGAAGAGTGGCAAATGTAGATCAAACGTTATACAGCTGAAGAACCTTTTTATACGTTGTAGAATCATTATGTCTAAGTTTGGATGATCCATTTTTTTCCTTTCTTTTCTTTTTTGTTATTTTTTAATGCATAAGCCCTAAACTGATTTAATGCTCCATTGTAAAATAGTGTAAATAGTAGAAATATTTCTTTATGTCAGTTGACATGACTTATTACGCCTCCGTTACGAAGTAGCCAGGTTGTCCGTACGTCCCGTTCTCATGATCGCTTTATCTCAAGAAACAATTGATGGATTCATGCCAAACTTTGGTCATGTATGTACCTTGCAGAGCCAATCAACTGATTAGATTTTAGGGTTACAAGGTCAAAGGTCACAGGGCTCTTATATGTACATGCAAAAATAGCTTGTGATTGCATTATCATTAGAACCGGTGGACAGAGTACTATCAATTTCAGGACATGTGTGTATCTTGCTGAGTCAATGAACTGATTAGATTTTGGGGTCATAAGGTCAAAGGTCATGGGGCTCATTATGCATGCTAAAATAGCTTGTGATCACATCATTAGAACAGATGGATGGATTCCCATCAAAGTCAAAACATGTATGTATCTTGCAGAGCCAAAGAACTGATTACTATCAAACTCAGGACATGTGTGTATCTTGCTGAGTCAATGAACTGATTAAATTTTGGGCTCATGAGGTCAAAGGTCATGGGGCTCATTATGTATGCAAAAATAGCTTGTGATCACTTCATTAGAACCGATAGACGGATTTCCATTAAAGTCAAAACATGTATGTATCTTGCAAAGCCAAAGAACTGATTAGATTTTAGGATCATCTTACAGACAAAGAGCTTCCGCTCCCCCAAGGAGTGCACACTTTAAGATGACCCCGCTCTTACGTTGAAAAGCTGCAGTTGTACATGAGATACCTAGTCTGACGAAATATCCACTAGACCTTGATGTTAAACTCTATTAATAATGATATAGCAGTTGTTGACAGAGAATGTATAATGACAAATATAAGAATGTAATATTTATCAGGATTTTCTTTTATTCTCTTCATAGGGCTATTTAATCTACGAGGTTCAGATATTGTATACAACCCCGTGTTCTTTGCTTATGCAGTGCTTTCTCAGGATAGTGTACAGTGAGTATTGTAAATATTTGTTGAACATTTTTGGGAAATGTTCATATACGCATATTAGATACAGACAACATACTGGTAATTGTGAAAAAAATAACAAGGAATGTAAATCTTCCAATGATACTACTTCAGATTCACGTATACTGCCATCTGCTGCTCAAATAGTGCCAATGTGTTGACAGCAATGTCCCACAATGCATCAGCAACTGATGACGTGCATGTGATGATGCTTGGGTACTGGAAATTGAAATTGCTCTAATTAGAGTATGTATGATTGCCTTCACCGAAAGATGGCACGATTGAAAAAAAATTACAGCAGTGGTAGCAAGCAATGTTGGTAAAATACCCTGCCTTTTAAGTGTATTTGCATATCCTCAATAGAGCTAAGACTTGTATGGATACTTTAAAAAAAAAGTATGTAACTTGTATGCCTACCATTTATTACATGTACGGTAAGTAAAAATCAAATAAATCCATCTTTATAATCATGGTTTGGGGTTTACTAAAACTACCTGAGCTATGAATCTGAAGAGGAATGTCTGGCCAACCGAAGGTGGAGAGGAGACTAAGGGATCCAAACAGCATCTGTCCATTGTCCGTTTGTTGCCCGTTCGTCGTCCGTCACCTTCAAAAAATAACTTCGCAACTGTCAACCCTATTGTGACTAGACTGGGTCATAGTTCATTTGGGTACCTCCATGCTTTGAGGCTGTCAAGGGTTACATGCCATTAAGAGCAAAGGTCATTTGAGGTCTTATATTAAAGTTTACCTTCAAGATTTTCATGTTACAAATAACTTTGTACCTGTTAATACTAATGTTACCAAACTTAGAACAAAAATGCACCTGGGACCTTAACTTTGTAGTTCTCTATAAGTTCACATGGTAGGTCAAAGGTAATTTTAGGTCATATCACACTCTTTTAGACAAATAACTTCACAACTGTTGATTCTATTATCACCAAACTTTGGTCAGAGATGCACTAGGGGGACATTCACACTGTGGTTACATGTATGTCAAAGGTCTTTTGATGTCATTTGCTAAAGTTTACCTACTCTTTTAAGCCTCATTATCGTGATATCTCAAGAACCATCAGAGGTATGTTTTTCAAAACTGATGATAGGGTGTATCACTATAGGAAGATGATCTGATTAGATTTTGACGCCTCTGAAGTTAAGAAAAAAAGAGAGCAATAAAATGTGTTGAGGAAATAGGTTTGCTAAGCTTTATGGACCATGTTTCATGTACATCTACATGTAAATTTAAACATACACATACAGTACATGTAAACACTAACTGCTAAACTTCTATAATACATTTGCTGACAACATTAGATACAGGGATTCAGTATCTTTTCTACATTATAGTTATTTGTTGTTGATGAAATGTCTTTTGAAACAGGGCCATAATATGTTTTTTTCTATCAGTCTGTTTGTAGATGAGAGTAAGCTAGAACCTGGAGTACACAGCCATATCAACCAAGGAATAGAAGTCACACTACATGCATATGATGACATTCAAAAGTTCATCTCAGACATGCTTGCTGAAAATGGAGCCAAGACCTGGGTGAGGTTCAATGACAATCTTGTCTCTCTTCTTGAAATTCAAATGTGTTGATGATATTTTAAGTGAGATGCAACGAAGTAGCCAGAGGCATTATGTTTTCGGGTTGTCCATGATCCGTATGTCCCGTTCTCGTGATCCCGTCATCTCAAGAACCGATTGATGGATTTCCGCCAAACTTGAATCATGTATGTATTGTGCAGAGCATTAGCTTTTGGGGTCATGAGGTCAAAGTTCAAAGGTCACAGGGCTCATTAAGTATGCAAAAATAGTTTGTGATCGCATTATCATTAGAACCGATGGACGGATTACTTAAGACATGTATTGTGCAGAGCCAAAGAACTGATTAGATTTTAGGATTATGAGGTCAAAGGTCATGGGGCTCATTACCGTATTTGCCGGCGATAAGGCCACAGCGCCTTATAGGCCGCACCCCCGATTTCGACATTTAAAAAAAAAAAAAAAAAAACTTTTTGTCAAAGGCGGGATTCGATCTCTTGCGGGCACATATAGATTGGGACCTGTAACCAGCGCCTTAGACCGCTCGGCCATCCCGCACTGATACCATACTTTGCAGTTTTCTCTGATGTATACTTTGAAATGGATTGAAATTGGCGACTTTGCGTGCTGGATGCTTCACGGCAGCTCCGTTAAACGGGCCCTTCTTTTACTTTTGCAATGCATTGAACTTGAACTTAGATCAAGATCTATCGGCAGATGTTATTTTTGGAAGTTTATTTTTGTCTTCATGTCAACAATGCAAGATAAAATTGTCAGTAACATGTGTGGAAATGTCCTGTACCATAGTGGTATAGTTATTTTACCGATAGTAGTCCCGTATGTGCAAATTCGTGCTGGTTTGGACTTACATTTTTTTTTTTTTTTACTGTTTCGCCGTAAAGGCCGCACCCCAACTTTTTGATATTTTTTTCCCCAAAAATACTGCGGCCTTTACGCCGGCAAATACGGTATGTATGCAAAGGTAACTTGTGATCGCGTTATCAATCGAACTGATTATATTTTAGGGTCATGAGGTCAAAGATCAAAGGGGCATACATGTATATGATAAATTAGCTTTTAATCACAATATTCTGAGAACCTGTTAAGGTAAAGACCAATTATGGTCATGCGATTGCATTGTGAAAGAAACGTTGTGGAATCGATCAGAAAAGGTTGATCATCTAGCATATAAGTATTGGTGTGTACTGCAAGGTTCTGGAATCATCAAAATGATAAGAAATTTGGCCCAGTCTTCGTAAAGTTACAAGCACTGTACACAGAAAGATGTATATGGGACTATACGCACATGTGCGCGACACATGCGTTTATCTCTCACAGACCATGTAGATAAACTAATTTACCAAATATATCAATTAGTAGGCGGTTTCCCAGCAAAATTGTTATCATCATGTACATGTATTAGTCAAAACATTCTTTCACATGATTTGTAATAAGAGCTTCCATGTCATTTTTTGAAATTGGGGCATTTCTAATACTTGTCTTTACCTTTAATGGATTTCAATCAAACTTGAATTTTAAAAATTGCCTCTGTTTTGTTTTGTAACATGGCTCTATGGCACAGGCATCATTTCAACTGCGTGCAGTTGAAGGTCCATTTAGTTTTTAATTTGATTTTTTCCTTCACTTGTTTGTTGGTAGGGGAATATAATTTTTGTTTAAATACCGGTATTCCAGATATGTATGTACCAGCTATGTACATGTATATATCTTCTTTTTTTTTTCTCTACAGATCAGCGCCAACTCAAGTTATGCACTAATGAACCTCATTCCAAAGGTATGGTACAAGTTGACTTGTAAACTTTGAAGAGTACAATGTATGTTTAGTTGCGTTCCAAGCAGAAGGGCATTAGCAGGGGAACTTGTATTACAGGCATGAAGAGATGTTTATAGTTTGTTTTTAAATATTTTATACCTAGATGGTAAAAAGGTACTGTAGATTAATAGGGAAGGCTTAGTTATTTTATCAGCACTGTAGAGTTGTCTCTCTCCTCCAGTTTCCATAGATGCCATTGCTCATTATTAAGTCAGGGTAATAAATTCCCACACTTTTCAAGTGCAGGTAGTTGTTGTCTTAATGTGATAAACTGTTAATCTGTGCTAGACCAGAACAGAAATATTGTTATTGCACTAGGCCACAGAGAGATTGAGGTTCAAGTATTATGGATGAGAGATAAAGGAAGGGAGGGAAAGAGAGAGAGAGAGAGAGAGAGATGGATTAACAATTGTATTCATGGTTCTTGGGTTTTTTTCAGAAAGAATACAGGAATCTAAAGGGCAAAATCGTTTATTAATTACTACATTGTGCAAGGCCTACAAAACATGATGTTGTCACATATTTTTGTCTCGTATTACAGCAACATCAATACATTCACAACAGCCCAATCTGGCAGAGCAAAGCAGTCAAGAATGATGTGGAAATTGAGGGCATGCGTCAAGCACATGTAAGTCTCTAGGTCACCAGTCTTACTCCTCCAATATTGTTGTTTCATATGATAAATGTGTTGCATGTATTTTTGTGCAGTACAGTTACCAACTGAATTATTCATAGCCTTACCAAGTTTTGTAATTCTTTAAGTATGTGAAAAGTATATTTGTATATGTTTCTTGATAATGTGATATATTATTAAAAGTATACCTCTGAACGTATTCAACAAAGGAACTAATTTGGTGAGTCCACCTTTCATTCTTGAGTTATGAAAAACACAAAAAACATCAAATGTACAAGGGATATGAGTATTCAAATTGTTAGTTGTAACATTTAATAGGATAATAGATAGTAAGCAAATATTAACCGGCTACGTGCCGCAAGGCGAGGGATGATGGTAGCCCCCGAGATCACAGAGGGGATGATAGTTTGTATCCATTGCCCGAGTAAAGGAGGTTAATATTTGTTTTATATCCCACATCGGCAATAAGGTCTATTTAAAGTGAATTTTACATAATTAAAAGAACTGATTCTGCAGACAGTTTAGCTTCAGCTAGATTTTACAAAGTGCAACATGCATACATGTAGTAAAGTCGATGCGCGCTCATTTGACATTGACATTTCGTGTAACCTACTTTGTATGCTTATTCAGTGGCAAGTGGGGCAGCAGCAAAAGAAATAAAAAGATAACGGTACAAAAGTCTTATCGCAGGGAGATAGTACTTATCTATCATTGATCATGTGACCTCGTTTAGACCAATCAGATTGCAAGATTCTTAGTATGCGGGATGTAATTGCTAATATCTCCAGGAATAAATATACAGAAAAATGTATGATACAACTCATGATCTCTCGTCACCATCTGAGTCGTTAGACAATGTTGATAAATGCACTAATGCACTTTAGAAACAACAAATTCAGATTCGTAGTACTGAGATCTGAGCATTGGATGTTTTTATTTTCTCCCTGCAGATACGAGATGCTGTAGCCCTGTGTGAATACTTCAATTGGCTTGAACATGAGGTAGGGTACATGTCCACTTTCACACATTGCCTTTGATTGTCAAGTTCAGTAGATTTACTCCCATTCTGAAATGATTCATAAGCATTGTCAATCCAACTAGTGTGTTAGAGAAGAGTCTTTGCAAACTCAATAGGAGGAAGGGTGTTCATTGACAAAGATGTGTGAACACATCCAAGGAATAGGTCAAGTAGGAATAATAGAGTGGTGAAAATCTATTTTCGGAATTTCTCAATTTTTTCTTCATTTTCAGAAAGAGCATACAAAATATCGAAAACCAATCGAATATGTTAAGTATTGGCTGAGATATGACCATCTGAATAAATAGATTTCCTATGGGAACACATTGTTATAGTGCTCTGGCTCATAACGACGACGATGACACATATGCAGCACTTGATACTAATTTTTTTTTAATGTTCTGTATAAAAGCATATTGCTTCTACAGTAAATACAGGTGCATGTTTTTTTACCTTGATTTATTTCTTTGTTTCATGTGCAGATTCCAAAAGGGTACCTCAATGAAGTGACTGCTGCTGATAAGCTTGAGAATCTCAGAAGGTAAACTTGAAATATACAGTAGAAGACCAGGCGGAGTTACAAATGCACATGTTCTGTACATGTATAGCATATGGCAATGATTTTAAATGGTTTAAAGAAATTTGAAGTAAGCGTATTGTATTAACGTCATCATAAAAAAGAGGCCACTTTGTTTTACTGCGTTTCACATGTACCGTATGTAAATAAGCCTGAAATTGGCTCAAATTTGGCTTAAAGTAGATATTCATTGAATTTAAGAACTAATTTTGTGTTCATTATTGCAAAGTTGAAACTTTGATTCGACAAGGTTATCAAAATTCAATGCTTGGAAACATTCGAAGTAATGATTATTATAAATTACAAAACGCTTAAATACAGCCCAGGCATAGCACCTGAAGAGCTCTCCGAACGCTGCTGAGATGTGTGAGATCACAGTATGGACATGATTTGCACAAGCAGACGATGTCCCATGACATCTCACACATTTTCAGTGCCTGTGTTTTCATCTTCTCTTAAGTTCTTTCTCTTACTTCACTACCGTCAGGCTAAATGTATAATCTATTGCCTCACTCTGAACCCCGCGCATGGTTTTATTTTGATGACAAATGCAGCGATACAAAAATAAGGAATTTGTCGCTTGTAAACAAAATAAGACGCCATTGTATATTCAGCTGCACACACCGCGGTATGTTCGGCGTTCCAAGAGGGAACAAATGCCGTCCTTAGGGGCAATTCCACGGTAACGGAAGGACACTCAGACAAGATTTTTGAACTTCAGGTTCATACTAAAAGAACTGTTTTATTAGTATAAGATGTGAAACAGTACAGATATAATACCTATATAAGTGCCTTTAATTCTCCCCCAAAAAATTGTCATTATAGTTAAGTAGTTTAAGAATGTGCATATTAATTATCTTGGTAACGGAAGGACATAAAAATGGACATGGTTTTTCCAGTTAATTAGTGTTTATCCAAACTTTGTGAAGTTGATGAAGCTTTCCACTTGACTGAAACACATTTTGTTCCCCATAGTTTAATACATACTAATAAAACATTTCTTTTAGTATGAACCTGAAGTTCAAAAATCTTGTCTGAGTGTCCTTCCGTTACCGTGGAATTGCCCTTAGTATCATTCCGGGGGGGGGGGGGTTCAATTTGAAAGTCTGGTTTCTTTGATTGCTAATTAACCCTATCCTGTGTATTTACAAGCAAAAGATTTTAGTTATCAGAATCGGATCATATCCCCTTTTGAATGGTTTGACAAGCCATTACATTTATATACACTAAACTCATTATAATTTGACAAATAATATCTTTGCAATTATGTTCATTCTTTATGAGATGTCGTCTGCTTGGGCAGTATTGGTCCATATAGTGACGTCATTAAAACATCGTTATTTTTCCGGCGAATCTCTCATATATCCCAGCTGCTATGGAGGTGGTTGTATTTGTATTTTTATAAATCACCCGATATGTAGTTGACCTAAAACTTGTACGATGGCTATCTGTTAGCTTACCAGTTTCTAGTGAGACATTAGTTGACATATTTGTGATTTTCTTTGAATTTCACCTTTAACCCTATTTAGCCCAGGGGGGGGGGGGTGCTTTAGAAGCCCCCCCCCTCGACATTTTTCGCGATAATTTTTTAACGGATAAAAATCTTGCACTGAAATATTGTGACTTTTTTCTTTCGAGTCTTGCGCATCTTTTGAAAGAAATTTTTCGAAAATTGGACCTACCATTACAAAGTCACATGTCCTTTTGTCTTTGCATGTCAGCCCAAAAATCGCTCATTTTTGTGATTTGTGTACAAAACATATGGAAATGTCATTTTTCAAATAAAGAGATAAAACATTGGTTATTTGGTCTTGTTTATAGTTTAGGTGTTTATTTTGGGGTCAAAATCAAAACAATAGAAAACATAAGGAATAACCCTGGTTATTCAATTTTTTGTGTTGTATTATTATTCCAAATGGTCTAACAAATATATGTAGTGAAAAAGAATGCTTAAATATTAATAATGTCTGATATATGGGCAAAAATGTGAATTTTATGACCTTATTTGCATAAATTACCATAAATATGCAAATGAGTGAATTTTTCAAAAAATTGAAATTACCATAGTATTCTATACACTTCACTTGACATGTATGCAAATTTTCGCGGCGATCGGTCGTTCCACGGCCGAGATCATAGGGGGGGGGGGTGGGGGGTTTAGAAGCCCCCCCCCCCCCCTGGGCTATGCAGTTTCAAAATAGCCCGGGCTAAATATGCACAAAACTCTTTTTTTTGTTCTAGATTTATGTAAAGCTTAATATTGAAATTATATTGCATAGTTGTCTGGATACATTTACCCAACTCATCGGATAGACCGGTTGTCTTGATGGATTCAGAAGCCTTCATGTATGTGGTCATAATATTAATCAAATATACCATGGATGCACTGAGAGGCTGCGGTAGAAATTATGAACTCTCTGAAGTGACTGGCATAGCACTATTTTCTGAAGGTCACAGCCCAACAGTAAATAGTAACTATGTTTATCACTGAAGAGATATCATAAATCTACTGGCGCCTCAAAACACAATATGGAATTTGCGGCTGACTGATGTTAATTTAACACCAATTCCAAATTACTTATGACAAGAATCATGAAACAAATATGAAATTTGGGTGTTAACCTTAATGATATTGTCACTGCTCTGTCTAGTCACACTAGCTGTTTATAAATGAATGCAACCGTAGGCCAAAAGGCGTACAGTGATTATAGAGTCCATGATGCAGATGGAGTATATCCAGGATATATCCATTTTTCATGGTTGAAATATTTTACATCACATGAGCCATCCCAGACTAATCCCTGCTCAGTTTTCTTTTATGTACAATATAAATTCCTCTTTTTACTAAAAATCTTGTGTTTTGCTTTCTTTGTTTGTTTTTGCAGTGAGCAGGAAGATTTTGTGTCACTGAGCTTTGATACGATCTCCTCCATGGGTCCTAATGGAGCAGTGATCCACTATAAACCTCAACTACCTACTGCTCTGACACTCAACACACAAGAGATATACCTGTGTGACTCAGGAGGACAGTACAGGTATATATTAACATCCACCAATCAACTCTTAACAACAATAAACTTACAAAAAAGCAACAAAAGTATTGTATACCCTGTCTACTCACTATGAATATGACGGACACAGAAAGCGGACAAAATATACAGTTCCTCATTCTACCCTCAACAGTTGCTGTGGTTGACAAAGAAACAAAAGAAAAGTTTACTATCTCTCTCTTTCTTTCAAAATCTTTCTCAATTTTAATTGTTGGACAATACGTTGATGTCAGTTGATATATGATTATTGGTCCTGTGAAGTCCTATGTACCTTTTTAATTATGTTTAAATGAGATTGCTCTTGAGTGTATTTTTTTTAATTTTTTTTTTTTTTCTTCTTCTTTTCTTCTTTTCATATCTATGTATTTAAAGTGTCAATTTATACAGTTTTATTGTACAAAGTATATATACATATCACTATATTGTGAACTATTTATATGCCTGCCTTTTTTACTGTATGAAATCCAACTTATGGTTGCAATAAATGAATGATTTAATAATAACATCCCTTCACTGCTATTATGTAAAAATCTGTAGAACAGGTATCACATTCACATGTTCTACACATTTTTACATAATAGCAGTGAAGGGATGTTCCTTTGTCTACCCGAGGAACTGTATATTTTGTCCGCTTTCTTTGTCCATCATATTCATAGTGACTATTTGTAGACTTAAAATCATCCCCTATAAATTGATATTTAAAAGGTAAAAATGTCACATAATTGTAGGTTCTTATGGTGAAGTTGACACCATTTGGCTGTTTGCATAATAACAGGTGTGATCAGGTACACTTGATTTCACTTTTAAGACTTAACAGGTCTTATGTAGAACTAACACCCTCCATCAACCGCCTCATTGAAATCCATTCTATGTCTGAACGATGACTGACTGCTTCCTGATCTCTTGCCGCAAGATTTAGGTGAGCCAGGAGCTGCGTGCAAGATTTATACACACGTTACTTCAAATTCCACCGGACTAGCTTTTAGGAGCATCTAGACATCATTATAATTAAGGCATGAACCATCATGTATATATATAATTTATTCCTAGGTTATACTTCTTATGTTAATGATAGTATTATAAATGACGATGGCTGTGTTGATTGTATTCCACCCCACAATGACAATAGAGCAGTCCTTTCCACAGATTAATTTATGATTTGTTTGATAATTGTTTTCCCTGGCTGCTAATAAAACATGTACAGTTTATAATGAAATTATTCATACCCCTTGTAAATTTTCTTTTTTTATTCTTTCGTAACCCAAGAATGAAAGTGGGACTGGTTAAATTATGGCCTTTGTTAAAACTTTTAGATTTAAGCTTTACTATACTCTCAAGAAACATATATAGGGACAAATCAATTTTGTACATACACAACATTATAAAACTTGGTTAGGGGATGAATAATTTAGTAAACTGAATATGCTTGTAAGTAAACAGCAAGGGAACCAATGACTTTAAGTCCTCTCTTGGTGATGAGGATTAATTCCTTACCAAAGGGCACAAGTGCATTGAAGTAGTTTTGCACCTGGGACGTCCTGAGCCATGGTGCATGAAGTGGCCCAACACTTCTCTGTCAAGTAGTCCTATGTTTTGTGAATGGATGTAACACACGTTTCATCTTGCAGTCTACATGTACACTGTATCATCCATTCCTATTCATATTTGAATTGTTACACCTGACAGAGACGGAACAACTGATGTTACAAGAACATTTCACTTTGGAACACCTACTCAACATCAGAAGGTAACGAATGTCTGCTAAACCCTTCTCTTTGTCCCTTCAGATTGTCCCTTCAGTTATGAAAAAAACTTGACTTTTATGTCTTTCTCTTTCAAATTGAAAACCTAGCTTGTTTTTTTGAGAATTTTGAGAAGAAAGTGTCAACCCTATGTTAACTGGGGGGGGGGGGGGGGGGGGAATCAATTTGACCCCCCCCCCCCTGTAGAAATTTCGTCACTACTCCGAAACCGCGGCAGATATAAAAAATTTCCTCTCATGACTTTTTACTTTTGAGTTTTACGCATCTTTTAAAACAATTTTTTCGAAAATCGGACCTACGGTTACAAGGTCACGTGACCTTTTGTCTTTGCATGTCAGCCCGAAAATCGCTCATTTTCATGATTTGTGTACAAAACATATGTAAAAGTCATTTTTCCTAAAAGTAGATAAAACCTTTTTTTATTCAGTCTTGTTTACAGTTTAGATGTTTGTTTTGGGGGTCAAAATAGTTGAATTGTAGTTATAAATGAAATAAAACAACAAAAACAATAAAATACATAAGTTTAAAAAACAATGAAATACATAAGAAATTATAAAAACAAGAGATAACATAAGGAATAACCTGGCTCTTCCAATTTTTTGTGTTGTATTATTATTCCAAATGGTCTAATAAATATATGTAGTGAAAAGAATACGTAAACATGAATAATCTTTGATTTATTGGCAGAAATGTGAATTTGATGACCTTATTTGCATAAATTACCATAAATATGCAAATGAGTCAATTTTTCAAAAATTTGAAATTACCATAGTATTCTATACACTTCACTTGACATGCATGCAAATTTTCGCGGCGATCGGCGGTGAAACGGCCGAGATCTTGGGGGGGGGGGGTCGAATTGACCCCCCCCCCCCAGTAAAAACCTGGTCTGAAATAGCCCCATTAAAATAGGGTTAAAGGGCCACTCTTACCAAAACGAGCTAAAAAAATTTTTAAAGACATGTAGAATAATTTTTGACGGAGATTCCGAAAACATGACAATGATTTTTCTTAGAAATCATCAATAATTCTGTAATCTAACCTTAAAAATGGTGACTCAGAACGCTCAGAGAAAAGCCCAGTTTCGGTGATGACGCATTTGACGACACTGCAGGCGCCTTTCCAGTGAAAAGGAGGGTGATTTAGGCATTAAATGTCTTTAAAAAGGCAAACTATGATATTAATTGGAGAAAAAAAAGACACATTTATCCGAAAAGTAATATGCACTTGATAATCCCAGTACTTTTCTGGCAATTATGAAATTATCGAATCGGACATGCCCGCAATGACGTCAAATACAAAGTTTTGATATGGGGTCATGAATTTGGTTCAAATGAACATATTGGAAGCATATGCAACCCTACAATATTCAGTGATCGTTGTCGCGGTCTAAATAGAGTCTAAAGTTATGATATTGTAAATAATAAATTCTTTATGTTAAATAGCTCCCTCTCAAGGTCAAGATATTAATTAAGCTATAAAACAATGTTTCTTGAATAAAATCCGATTTGCTATTCCCGTTTGGAAATTATATATCACACCTACATATTCTGAGATTTTCATGGTCGCAGCTACCATTGTATGGCCGTAGACGCTATTTTAAAAATTTTCAAAATTTACCGGAAGCACCGGTAAATTTTTATATTCAATTTTTCTGGAAAGCAGAAGTGTTTTAGGGGCTAATTTTTCTAGTGCTTATGATACATCTACAGGGGCATCCAAATATATCACAATTGTAAAGAATCACTATCCACCCAATTTTCAAAATTTACTAAAACTTTCTATTACCTTTAAACCAGATTGAACTTAGTCCACCTACATGAATATTTGCCTATGTTGTTGGATTCAAGTTGATATTCTTTTTTTTGGTTCAATACCATAAAAATTACTATATTCCTGAAACTAAATAACATACAGATAGTGTCATCATGAAATTAATTTTGCATTTATCTTTCATTATTTGATTCATTAAAAAAAAAAATCAATGTTGTTGCAGAATAGCAGACATAGAGAATAAAGAGCTTGGCACTTGGTATTCTATAAATCAGTGGATGCAGTTATTACCAGATCAATTGCAACTTTTTATAAGTCGGGGTCTGAGTTTAACTTGGCCATCATTTATGAACATGTGGCCTTGGGTTCAATCACTGTAATTTGCAATTCTTTTGATTGCTTCAATCCAGGAATGTTTCACAAGAGTTCTGAAGGGTGTTATCTCCTTGGCAACGGCAGTCTTCCCAGAAGGAACACGAGGTGTGTAAAGGTTTAGGATATTAGGAGGTTTTTTTTCTTATGACTTCAGACTTAATACATGTATGTATAGTACAAATAGTTTGTTAATTAAAAGTTTGTTTTTGACATATCTGAATGAAAGTTTAGCCTTTTGCTTCATGGAGAATGTATATGCTTTTATATGTACTAATCTCATATTCTAATGATGTGGCTCTGCAGGTGTGTGATAAAATATTTGAAGTGCTGATCACCCCATCCTTTGAACACGATCTGTTATGAGTCAACAGTATGCTTTTAAGTCAAGTCATGTATAGCACAGCCTTGGTGTGTACTTGGTTTAATGGGCTAGAAACCCTGTACCATTCTCAAATTGCTACGAATTAAGGAAAACCAAGCCTTAAACGGATGGATCTAAAGGACATCAACACTAGCCTGACCATAGACTACGGAACAAGGATCTACAAATTAGGGCAGTCAAAACATGTGAATTACGTTTAAAAGGTTCAAATAAAGAATGTTCCAACCTTTGCTATGAGAAGCAGCCGTCCATAGTTATTGTTGTTGAAACCTTTCTTGATTCAATTGTATCTGATGAAGATACTTCCATCTATGATAGCTACACCTTCTCCATTGAAGGAGGGACAGTGCTTCAGGTGGAGGTGGATCTAAGCAGAGATCTTTGTAAATAAGTAGTTGTTATCATGTCATTTTTGTATTGTTGTGTTGTTCTTCATTTGTATACAGACTTGCTGAAAAACAGCCTTGCGGCTGGAAGCAGGTTTTTTATTACCGTACTAAAATAAATAAAATGAACAAATAAAACAAAGACCTGGAAATCTTATGGTTCACATTGGTACAGAAACTGCTTGTAGCAGCCAGTGGACCTACATGCCTTACCAACGGCACTTGTGCATTTGTTTTCTAAGCCAGGATGTATGGTGCTTGCAGTAAACCACTGCACTGTTTTGGAGCGTTTACGGTTAGAAAGGAGGAGAGTACATGTATATGCATATTCTTTCTGTAGGAAATTTAAGATTGTCTGCAATGTTAATGTCATTATAAAAACAATTAAATGTTATATTTTATGAACAGTCTAAGGTGGAAAAGAGGAGAGTTGTACATGTAATGCAATGTATGTGCATATTTTCAGTAGCATCAAATCATAACTTTCCTTTTTTCCGACCGAGCTGTTCTTTTAGGAGCTCATTTAAGATTGTCTGCAATGTACTACACGCCATTAAATAAAAAATAAAAAAAACTAAATTTTGTATGATTTGGCTAAAATATTGCAATACTGCAAATATTGAATAGCAATCATGTAAACATTTTTTCTTTAAAAGTTAAAACAAAATGATATTTTGGGGGTATTCATATCTTCTCTTATTACATGGTAGCATTTGTTTGATTACGTTTTCTTTTTTTCTGATTTCTTTTGTTTTAAGCAGTAAATTCATCAGGCAAGGCCTCCAAGTTATGTAAGCTATGCTCTTGCTTGTTTACTGACTCTATCGAGATCCAGTGTATCAGCAAGTAAACATATCACAGAGCATAATGCTATCCTGTGCTGTCTGCTATTAAAGGCTCAATACATGTATGCCCAACCAGCAGCCCCCTATGAAATACTCTGCTATAAGTGTTGTGATCAATTCTGTTTTTCAGGGGTTTTGCTAGACTCTTTTGCCAGACAGCATCTATGGGAGATAGGCCTAGACTACATGCATGGCACAGGACATGGGATAGGATCATACCTCAATGTCCACGAGCCCCCACACCTCATCAGCTACAGGGTTGGGCCTGGCTCGGAGGCCCCGCTTGAAGCTGGCATCTTCATGTCAGATGGTAAGCCTTTAAGGCTTTTTCTTCATCTTTTCCTTCCTCTTCTTTTGTTATTCATTTCTTGTTGTTGTTGTTCTTCCTTTTCTTCTTTGCTTTCCCTTGATCCTATGGCTTGTGTAGCAAGAATTTAACCTGATTTTGGGCTACATGTATGTCACCTAACTATTTCTTGCTACATAAGGTTTAATATTGCCCTGAACTTATTATAATGCTTCAGCATAAACACACTGTGCTGAAAAGATTACTCTTTCCAGGCTAAATGATAGAAACTTATTGCCATCTTGGTATTTAGAATATGAAAGTACATTCAATTTTTTAAAAGCGAGTTCGTGAAAAGATTCTGAGCAGGAGCATGTGGATGGCACTGTAAAATGTCACTGATATGGGATTTAGACTCGCTTTAGGTGCCCTGCTTCAAGATGGCATGTTTATAACAGATAGCACTTCTGGAGATGAAGTTCCAGTGAGCTAGTTATTCGGGACATTGAGCTGATAAAATTCATGCGAATACAAAGTAAAATAAACTTGGGATATTTGTTCATAAAAAACAGGTTATTGTTAGTTCACCTTGAAGATGTATTTCATGTACTTAACAGTGGTTAGTCCCTTTTTAAGTGCCTTGTTACAAATTATTTTATTCACATGTTACAAATAATTGTATTTCTATAGTCAGAATGAGAATTGCATATATTTTACACAAGCGAACATGCAGTGCATTGCCAAGGTTCATCTACGTATATAAAACATGCACAGAGTCAGCTGCATTTTTGCCGACTGTTGGAATGTGCATATTTTATTTTAGCACTGAATAATATGATTGAACTGCTCTATTCTGTAGGTGGCTGCAAATTATTGGCTTTGACTGTTGGTATTCAGCTACATGTAGTTTCATGCAAACCCTTTCTCATGACTGAAAACTGCACTAGTTATTCATTTCTTTTAAAAAAAAGTTTTAGAACCTATGACTGTAGAACGCACACCAGATATCTTAAGGACATATTTCAAACGCTCCAATTTTCATGGAGTTTGCACAAGTCTGCACAAGTCTGCAAAAGGGATAAATCACCTTTGATGTGCATGTAGAGATATTCCCTTTGAAGGGGCCCGGAGAAACATAAATCACTGAGCTCTCTCCTGTCCTCTCTTACTCCCAAAATCCCCTCCATCCCCCCCCCCTTGACTCTCTTGATATTTTATGCTTAGAACCTGGCTATTACGAGGATGGCTCATTTGGCATAAGGATAGAGAACATTGTGTTAGCTGTGCCAGCTAATACAAAGGTGAGTTCTTCTCTTACTACAACATTCTTGAAGGTACAGTGTACATGTACATGTAGGTCTTGAGGTTTTGAAATAGGATTGCTTTGAAGATAAACTGACTTTCAATACCGGCAGTGCTGAATGATTTATCAGGCAAAAGATTGGTTGTTCAATGAGCAATTATAAGCAATCTAACAAACAAAAGAATAATGGGAACTTTTCATGATAAATAGGAAAAAAATTATAATGATAAGGATGCGGATAAAGATGATAATGCTAATGATAAGGATAACAATAAGGATAATGACGATAAAATAATCAGTGTGATTTTAAAGACTGTGTACTTCTGAGAGGGTATAAATTTTGAAAATAAGTTAAAAACGTCATATTGGTTGAATCATTAGTAGTCTCATGAACCCATATAATATGTGTCCATTACTTTCCACTGTATGTGATTTTAGTAAGATTTAGTGAATTTGTTATAATTTTTATTTTTCCAAAACATAGTAAACAATTATTTCTACTAACTACGTAATAATTATTCAGAATAACTTTTAGACAGTAAATTGCATTTACACCCATGGGCTTTCGGCAGGATGGCTAGATATCCTGTACTAATTGGGATTTTCCATCATCCATCTTTTTTGTCACGTCCATAATCAGACCTAACTGACCCTGGGAGGTATACATGTAAGTCCTGTTCCTTTCATTTGTTAGGGATTGCTCCTGAAGAAGCAATGTCTCAATATTTTAATTCATGATGAATCACAGTTGTACGTAAGCTGCAGCCAGCAAAAAAGGGTTAAAATGTATTTATTTACTTCAAATCTGCAGGAAGACCAGACTTTACATATATATACCTCATATGATTACATAATTGATTAAAGTGGTCTCTAGCAGAGTAATTAGTTATTGCATACAGACCATTTTTATTTCAATGATGCATTTCAACTTTTAATATTTTTTTATCCCCTAGTATTCTTTCAGTGGCAAGAAATTTGTGACCTTTGAAACTGTTACCCTTGCCCCGATCCAACTCAAGATGATTGATCCATCATTGCTGACAGAAAAAGAGGTATGTATCCACCCTGGCAAGCAAATACACTCCATTTTAGAGGGGAAGTTCAGACTCTTTTCCTGATTTTATAGGAAAATCCAACCTTGATAGACAACCACTCAGAAGGAATGCAGAAAAATCAGAGAAGCAGACTAGTGAAAGTTTGAATGAAATTGGACAAAAATTAAAACAGTTATATGATTTTAATTTATACGTGTGGGCACTTCGAATTGACAGAATCAGTAATGTTAGTGTGATGCAGAGCCAGACAACTTTTGCATTTGTTTCAAGACACAAAACATCTTAAATGTAGTTTTCAGAAATTATAACTCAGGAGGGTCTTTACTCTTTAAAGATAATATGTCCCTTTTGCAGCCAACATCAAATTCTGTAGAACTTTGCAGGAATAATGAATATGTCATGTTTGCCCTACCTGTGAAATTTAAACATAAGCAGTGTCCTAGTATTCAAATTATGCAAGGAAACCCGTTTACCTTCTAGACTTTACTGTCAGACACTTTTGAGTGAGTGACTGACTGACTGACATCTTTTTATAAAGTAGCCAGAGGCATTGTGTTTTCTGGTTGTCCATCCGTACGTACGTCTGTACGCCCCGTTCTCGTGATCAGCGTTATCTCAAGATGGATTACTGCTAAACTTATGTCATGTATGTATCTTGCAGAGCTAATGAACTGATGATATTTTGGGGTCACGAGGTCAAAGGTCACAGGGCTCATTATGTATGCAAAAATAGCTGTGATCACGTTATCTCACAAACTGATTGATGGATTACCGCCAAACTTGGGTCATGTATACATGTATCTTGCAAAGCCAATGAACTGATTAGATTTTGGGGTCACACGGTCAAAGGTCACAGGCAAGGGTGTCGATTTGTATCCGTGGTTAGGGGGGATGATAGTTGCCAAAATATTTTCGGCAATGGATCAATGGAAGCTCTGACGTTTCAATCGATTAATAAAGAAAGAAGACGATTCGATGTGCCATTCTCGACTCTTAATCTTTGTCTGAATGCAGTTTCCCCCTCTCGCGCGAAAGCTCTGACATTTCATTAAATTATTAGAGAAAGAAGACGATTCGTTGTATCGTGTCCTTGTCTGATTGCAATTCGCCCCCGCCCTATCGCGCAAAGCGCGGAAGCTTTGACGTTTCAATGAATTATTACTCTTAATCCTTTTCTGTATTCATTTTCGCCCATCCAGCGCCAAGCGCGGAAGCTTTACCGTTTCATTAAATTATTAGAGAAGGAAGACGATTTGTTGTATCGTGTCCTTGTCTGAATTCAGTTTTTTCTCCTTCCGCGCAAAGCGCGGAAGCTTTGAAGTTACATTTGATTATAACTCTTAATCCTAGTCTGAATTCAGTTGACCCCCTCCCGCGCAAAGCGGGGAATCTTTGCCGTTTCATTAAATTATTAGAAAGAGAAGATGATACGTTGTATCGTGTATTTTGACGTTTCATTTAATTATAACTCTTAATCCTAGTCTGAATTCAGTTGACCCCCTCCCGCGCAAAGCGCGGAATCTTTGCCATTTCACTAAATTCTTAGAGAAAGAAGACGATTCGTTGTAGGCCTACTGTTCTCTATATTAATCCTTGTTTAAATTCAGTTTCCTCACATGCTGTATGTATGGAACGTTCGTTCGCAAATATTTGCATGCACAGCCCAAGACAGTGGTGGGTAGCATCTCCCGGCAGTGCTTGTCGCAATAGCTTCTGGAAAGGAATTGTATACTACTGTTAGTGTTAACGGCCACTAATTTGGCCCATTAGTGACTATACAAAATATATGCTCTTCCTGGCTATTTGGGAATGTGACAGTTTGCAACAGAAATGAAGAAACGCGAATTTTGTTGAAAATCATGTGATATCACGAACATTTATTAATCACTTGTATGAAATTGAGAATAATTCATGGATTGATTTTATTGGAGGGTTGAACCAACCAGTACGCCAGTGACATAGACCTACATCAGCTTTTCAATAAAACAAAAATAAGTTGTGACATAATAATCTTTCTCCAAAAATGAAAAATGTTTTAGGAAATATCAGGAAATAAAATAAAAATAAAGATACAATGACGTGAATTTTAAAAAGGGTGAACGGAAACAACATAACTAGTGAACTATCTTATAAGTCATACTAATGTCCGAAAATCTTTCTCCTTGTCTCTGTTCTCATCACGAATTCGTCACAGAGTTCATCTATGTTTACATTGTCCAGGATGGTCTTATGTTGCAGATTGCTACTTTTGCGCTTCGCGCTTAACATTTAGCTCGTTGCTTTTTGGCGCACTGCATTTCTATGCTGCTGTCAATTTAACAAAGTGAATTAATTCATCAATTCCTGATGAAGCCGTATGATCGAGAATTCAATTTATTCTTGTCTCATTTACTTCGTATATGTATGTATTATGAAAATGAGATAGCAAAATGTGTATATTGATGGTCATCTTGCGAGTAATAACCATTAACTACTCTCATCAGGCTCTCATCGTTAATTTTTCTCTTATTTTTTTTTTATTTTTTAGGGTGAATTATTGGGGGGGGGGGATGATTGTACAGGCCATCCCCCCACCTGAAATATTGGGGGGGATATATCCCCCCCATCCCCCCCGGGATCGACACCCATGGTCACAGGCTTATTATGTATGCAAAAGTAGCTTGTGATCACACTATCATAAGAACCGGTGGAATGATTACCATAAAACTCAAGACATGTATGGATCTTGCAGAGCCGATAACCGATTTGTTCTTAGGATCATGAGGTCAAAGGTCATGGGCTCATTATGTTTGCCTATAAATAGCTTGTGAATGCATCATTAGAACCGACAGATGGATTACTATCAAACTCAAGACATGTATTTATCGTGCAGAGCCATGTATATGAGAAATAGCTTGTAATCACAATATTCTAAGAACCTGTTAATCAAACTTGAATTTTAAACATTGCTTCCGTTTTGGTTTGTAAAATCACTCTATAGCGAGGGCATCATTTTCGACTGCACGCAGTCAAAGTTCCATCTAGATTTCTTTGGTAATAACATACATAAAAAGAGCTGCAACAGGTACATGAGCATTTGTCTACATCAATAACCCACTACTAAAATTAAACTGATTGAATCTTTGTGCAGCATAAAACGTGCAACTTGACAACTAATGGTCGTTATTTTCCCACTATAAATCATTTTCAAGCCCCTTCGTTTTGAGGGAAGTTCTAAATTAGTATTGTCTTTCAAATGCCGTTGGAATTTAACCTTTTCACCTTTTTGGCCTGCAAATGGGACATAATACCCTTAAAGGACCTATGATAACATGCTATCCATGATATAGTTTGGGTAATGCGCTGTGACAGAAGGCACTTTTTTTGTACATGACAAACGGAAGAGTTGTCCTTGACTCCATTATAATTCACTGACCAAATAGCCACTTTGAGATTCACATACATTTAGTGATGTCAATATGTCAAACATTCATAACTCTTTTATTATTTGTCTGATTTATTTCAAACTTTCACCATTTAATTTCTTATATATTTCTGCTTGCATACAAATGAAGTTATTGCAAAAATTTGATTGCCTTTTATCCAGATAATGATGTGGTTTTCAATATACATATCTGCAAAATGTCCATCACAAGGTGCCTCCTATTTATATGTGTCTGAAACTTCAAAAGATTGTATTCAGATGACCACATTTACATTTTTATGCTTCCGTTACGAAGTAGCCGGAGGCATTATGTTTTCGAGTTGTCCGTCTGTCCGTCCGTACGTACATACGTCTGTACGTACATACGTCTGTACGTACATACGTCTGTACGTACATACGTCTGTAGTACATACGTCTGTACGTACGTTATGTCCCGTTCTCGTGATCGCGTTATGAATTTGAAAAAGTTCTTTTGTTTTGGTTTGTAAAATTGCTCTATGACGGAGGCATCACTTTCGACTGCGCGCAGTCAAAGTTCCATCTAGTTCTATTCTATATTTAAAATAGGGGAAAATGGTAATTAGCATGCCTTGCAATGTATTAGCAAAAGATAGAAAGCTTTTGCAGACCTAAAGGAGGTGGATATAATTTGGAGAAGATGAAGAGAGTTTCATGCACATTGCTTTGAGGTTGTATTGATAAAGAAGCATTGGGTTGTGTGGACTAGCCTGTAAAATTGATCACCGCCCCTAGGATAACCACCCTCTAGGGCAACTAACCCCAGAAAACTACCCCGTAGGACACCTACCCCCTGGACATCCACCCCCAGACAACTACCCCCTAGGATAGTTGTCCTAGAGAATAGTTGTCGTAGGGGGTAGTTGTCCGGGGGTAGTTTTCCTAGGGAGTAGTTGTCCTAGAAGGTGGTTATCCTAGGGGTGGTTATCCTATGAGTGGTTCTCCAGGGGGGGGGGGGGGGTAGTTGTCCCGGGGGTAGGTGTCCTAGGGGGTAGTTGTCCTAGGGGGTAGTTGTCCTAGGGGGTAGTTTCCTAGGGAGTAGTTGTCCTAGAAGGTGGTTATCCTAGGGGTGGTTATCCTATGAGTGGTTCTCCAGGGGGGGGAGGGGTAGTTGTCCTAGGGGGTAGTTGTCCTAGGGGGTAGTTTTCCTAGGGAGTAGTTGTCCTAGAAGGTGGTTATCCTATGAGTGGTTGTCCAGGGCTAGGTGTCCAAAACCATTTGGTTCTGCTACTTAAATTAGGCCTTTAAAAAAAGAGATGTTGTATTGCCCTTTACAATGTAGGTGCCAAAACGTGGGTCGGCCAGATTTTTTTTCCTCCCTCTTTGGGCTGATATTTTTCAGTTTTTTTGCTTCATTTTTTTTCTTCTAAAAAACTTTAAAAAAAAAAAAAAAAATTTAAAAAGCCGACCGTAGATTTCAAGACATTTGGGTCGGTCGCAAAGGGCAATACAACATTTGTTTTAAACGCCTTATTGACACTCTCTATCATGGATTAGTCTTGATTTAACCAGATACCGCATACTTTTTGAAACCTGTGAAATTTGGTTTTAATTTAGGCTGAAAATGGAGTGGTCTGATATTTTCTTGATTTTTATATTTCAAGCTCTGTCCATCTTTTTATGAGAACAAAATAATTCAATATATTTGTCTTCTTATGCATTTGTCTTTGTTTCTCTTTTTTCTCCTAATGGCATAGATAAAATGGGTAAATGATTACCACAGCCAATGCCAAGAGATTGTGGGTGCAGAGCTTGGAAGACAAGGACGAGAAGAAGCTCTGAAATGGTTAATTAGAGAAACCCAGCAGATTGGATGAAGAAACACCTGAATATTCTTAGCATCTTAGGGTCAACCCTTGATATGAATTTAAAGCCTTTTTCTTGTTCAACATGGTAAAATGTTTCGAAACAAGATAAATTGCCTTAGCTTAGCAAAAGTAAGTGACGTATGTCTAGTGTGTTTATATCTGTATTTCATAACACACAGGTGACACAGAATGTTGAGTACTCTACTGTTAGGCAGGGGTTTGTGAAAAAGTAATATTAGCAATCATTTTTTGTCTATCCTGTATATTCCTACAACTTTAGTAAAATAAAAATCACACCTCGGTACAATGTTGTTCGTTCAAGAACTTTGATCAGGAAAGGATTCTTGCCTTAGCAAATTTGCAAAGATATTAGTAATGTTGATCGTGCCTGGGAAATATGGGAACATCTAATTTTCAGTCGTGAATGTTATGCCATAAACAAATTTGTAAAAATGCTTGTCCATGAATAACAGATGATATTGTTGAATTAATGAAACAACGTGTCCATAATCACAGAACTGCTATTCTTTCCTGATTTAGGAACAGTTATACAATTTAGATCTCTTAAATATTGAGTTACATACATGTATCTTATTAGTATAAGAAAAAGAGAAAGTGATTGTAACTTTATTAATGAAAATTTAATGGAAATTCTCAAAAGAAATATATGGAAGTGTCTCAAACATCTAATACAAAAGTCCGACAAAATATATCTGCATAGTCTGGAAATTGGAAAAAGGGATATGTCCAATCCAAGCAATTACCGCCCAATTTCTGTACTGTCAGTTGAAAGCAAAATCATAGAGAGGGTAGTACACCACCAACTCTCTGAAATTATTGACAATAATATTATCTTGAACTTGTTTTTCTTTTCTTCAAATCAATCTGGTTTTCGACCAAAGTATTATACAACAACAGCAATAATGAAACTTGTATTTGTCATGGAACATTGAAAATAAACAGATATCCGATGTCGCTTTTATAGACCTACGTATAGCATATGAGACCATTGATTACAAAATTTTATTTGTAAAATTAGCTGCTATTAGCTGCTATTGGGTGTTCTCATGAATGCATGAAATGGTTTAGTTCCTATTTGATGGATCGTGAACAAGCTGTTCACTTTAAAGGAGCTAAGTCTGATCCCTTAACCATATTGATGGTTAAGGGTCAATTATTTTCCATTTATGTTAATACTTTACCAAATTGTATATCTCATGGTAATGTTGATGTGTACGTGGACTTTACATGTTAAACTGTAAGTGGAAGTAGCATAACTGATGTTGAACAAAAACTTTCTTCAGCTTTACAAGAATCAATGGTATGAGATAATCAAAATCGCCTTTTAATCAAGTTTTAATCAAGTTTTAATAAAGTTGCTGTATATTTCCAGGCCTGATAAAAACCCAATTTAAATCGGGTTTCCTGATTATTATTTTTTTCCCCGATTTTTTTTTCTTCCCTATATTTTCCCCTATTATTTCTCAATTTTTCTAACTCAAAAGGGGGGAATGTTGTTAGATGCCATTTTTCCCCGAATTCTCTTTTTTTTTTTTACTCAAGGGGGGGCGTGGTTGAGGGGAACCCTGCCCCCCCCCCCTTTTTTTTAGTGCTCACTATCGCCCCTGATAATGCACTGGTGTGGCCTCATTTTGATTATTTTTGCTCTGTTGTGGTCAAATCAATATCAAGAACAAACCCATAAACTGCAGAAAGTACAAAAGTGAGCTGTGATAATATTATCAAACCAAAGCTATGAGACTCCATCAAATGCAATGTTTAGTACTCTGAAGTGGATGCCAATGGGGAAATGTTTTGAATTTGAATGTGGTAATATAATATAGAAGTGCACACATAATTTGGCACCATCTTATTAATAAGAAGAATATGAATGTACCGTAAGTGGCATTCATCTGTATCATACGAGGAAGGCAGATGAAGACAAGAGAGGGCTATGATTAAAACATTGTTATATACTTAGGCACAGAATGTGCCTAAGTATATAACAATGTTTTAATCATAGCCCTCTCTTGTCTTCAATATTTGAGTAAGAGATGAAACATCCCTCATAGTTTCTAGTCATGTATAATATATTAATCCCTGTATCCCCAGAAGTTCAACAATCTAAGAGGAGATTATTTACCTCTTGTGTTCACTCCTTCTTTATAGCCGATGCTTATTCCTTTGAAATGACCATCCTTTACATTGCATTCCTACATTGTTTTAGTTCTCTCTTCCTCTCTCTTTATTCAGTGGTCTTCTTCAGACACACTCCCTCTTCCCCTTCACTTTGAAATATTATGAGTCACTAGGTCCTAGCACATACCTCCAGTAATATATATATATACAGTAGTTTGTGAAAATATGAAATCAGAGTTCTTCTTCTGGTCCTCATCACCTTCAGGTAAGGATTCAACAGTGAATGCCCCTGCCTATTTGGAAGGGGATGCTACTCATACATGCATTTATATATGAGAACCATCTTTTTTTGTATTTTTTCTCTTGAATAAATTTACCATCTTGCATTTTATATTCTTCGTCTCGTTGTCATTTGTTAAGTTAAGTCAACACTCTACCATCCACGCTACCATCCTGTATAATACACACAAATCCCAGAGTGTTACAATAGTTTGGAATTAATTGGACAGATTATTGAAAATGGCAGGCTCTGTGAACACATTTAAATATATGTTCAAATAATCTTATAATATCCAATCTCAATAAGAGAATGCTGAGAGGATTTTATTCCATTACTTTTATTTCTCATACATGTATGTGAATTACACCATTGGTTTATTTTTAACTGTATATGCACTACCGGTATTCATACCCTTCCTCATATTTGATGGACTTTGCTTCATAGTTATCGTAATGTAGGATGACATGAAGCTTTTCAAAGTGAATGAATGACATCATTCATTATCAGTAGGAAATACATGTTCACTAGTATTTAGGTTGTATCTTCCAATGCTACATACATTCAAATCAATTTGTTATTATTTAACAAGGAATTGAATCTTTGGTATACAACAATATGTCAACAATTTTGATATCTGATGTGTGGATCTTTGTTGAGCCAAGATTGTCCTTTAACTTTGTTTAAGAGCTTTTGAAACTATGCGAGTCTATTTTCAAAAAGTAAAATGTCTAAGAATTAATGATTATATTTTGCCTGATTTAAAAACAAACTATCGTCTATAGTCATGTAATATGATATTACAAATAAGCAACATTTGTGTTGTTGAAAAGTCCACATTTGTTCTGTTACTGTTATTGTCATGAGTTTATATTCATGATTGTTATTGCATTTTGTGAGTACCAAACAGAGCCTCATCATGGAAGACGACCACTATCGGTAAGAATGAGCTACCCTGTATAAAAGTATACTATTGGAAAATCTTAAGAATTCTCTCCCTACTAATTTTGCAACCTTTGTGATGAGCACATATATGGATATGAGTTCTAAAGAGATGGCACCGATTGTACTTTTTATGAATCAAATGGAAATCAATTTACATGTACTCTAGCTCAATTCATCATCAACTATCACCTTCTTCTATAAATAGACATATCGTCCCTGTTTTCACGAAGTGACGGTAGTGAGGAAAATCGTCACGCAAAGTGAATGCAATTTTTTTTCACTACCGTCACTTCGTGAAAACAGGGACGATATGGGCATCCCCATCTATTTCTGCCTATCCCTCTCTTTGTCTTCCTACTTAAATTTGCCTCTTATCTGCATCTCCCCATCCTCTGCCCCCCCCCCTTCTCCCTCTCTCTTTATCGTTCTCCCTCTCATCCATTTCTAGCTCTATCTCCCTCTCTCTTTCATTGTTCTTTTCTTCATGCTTCTTGCCAAATTCCCTCCATTTTCTTTCTCTCCCATTCTTCCGTCCTCCTTTCCTTACTGATTGCCCTGTTTGTATACACCGATTGTTATAAGTGTAGCCCAATTGTTTCTTCTGTATTTGAACGGAATAAGCTAGTTAATTCTATGAGAACGGCTTCCTCTGTCAATTCATTTAGGAGATTGTATAAACAAAGTTGTAATTTTTTAATAGCTCAGCCGAACATACACTACGCGCTTGTTCTGTAATATTAACATGATTTATTCACATAATTGCGACTGATCAATATTTTCCTATTGGCATCACAGTTGAACTAGGTTAATTGTGTATGATTATTTTGCTAACGAGTACCGGTATTCGTTTGTGCCACGTCTATTATTGTTGTTATATCTTTCTAAATGTACTATGGAATTTTATTTTAACTGTTCTGTATAAATGCTTTTTGAAGTAAATATTTTCATGTTTATTCAGAGCCCCATAGAAGACCACTACTTACTGGTGAATGGGCTACCCTGACAAAAGATTAGAAATAATTAAATAAATAACTAAATATATTTTCCTCACCCCTCCTCTCTCTCTCTCTGTGATTGTTTCTCCTAAGGCGTAACAAAAAAAGATGTTGTATTGCCCTTTGCGACCAACCCCAAAATCTTAAAATCTATGGTTGGCTTTAAAAAAAAGGTTTTGTTTAACCCTTACTGTACTGGGCTATTTTGAGCACCTCACTGATTGGGGGGGGGGGGGGGGGGGGGGTATGATCTCGGCCGTTGAATTTACGTAAGGAACAAGATGGTATAATTAGTTTTTTCCTTATATGCAAATTTTTGTCGTTATAGCCTAATTAATTATGCAAAATGCTAATTTTATGATTTTACAGAAAACTCTACGTATTTGTCTGTAGACTTGTGTAGAATCTTGAAAATGTATTGAATAAATGTTTCCTCCATCTCAAATTCATGAGGTTTCATTATTTTTATGATATTTGAAAATGCATAGGTTAATTTACATAAATTATGAATATGCAAATTACGCATTCATGAATATCAAATCTAGAAATATACATAGGTTAAATGCATAGGTTAATTTACATAAATTATGAACATGCAAATTACGCATTCATGAATATCAAATCTAGAAATATACAGGGAACTAGAATCATTACAAAATTTGTCAGACTCCACTTTTTGAATGGTGAAACTCATTATTCATATGAAACTTCTTTTCTAACACAAAATAGTTATTTTGATGTAATTGATAATGATAATTTATTCAAATTTGATGTCATTTTCAAATAATTATTTTCTTATGTATTTTATTGTTTTTTATTTCTTATTATATCTATTGTTTTATTTCTAAATGTATTCTTTTGTTCTGGAATATATCAAGTTACCTCGAGAAACATATAAAAGTAATTTGATATCAATTCATATCTCCCACTTAGGAAGAAATACATCTAAACCTGTATTTATATAGCACTTTTTGATGACATGCGCATACTAATTCTTATGTAACACCTTACAGGTATATCAGATTTCGACGAAAATGGTATCAAAACGTGAGTAAGACTTGAGGAAAAACAGTCATGAAACGACAAATCGAAATTTCAAGCGGTTGCAGCGCAATCTCTGAAAATGTTGAGGGGGGGGGGGGGCCTCCCAGTACAGTAAGGGTTAAACCTTTTTTTTGAGAAAAAAATGTTTAATGAATAAACAAATATGTATTTTGCTTGTTTAAATGGGATATAAATGCATATAATCTCAATTTATTCCCATATTCTCACTCGTCTTCTGCCCTAGTTTTTGAAATTCTGCTAGCGTAAACAAGTAGACCCCGGTCTTGTGTACGTGTATGGAAGTGGGTTCGAGGGAGGAAAAAAAAAATATCCGACCGACCGACCCAGGTTCTGGCACCTAAAGGGCAACACATCTTTTTTTTTTAGGCATCATCTCCATGCTTCTCGCTCCATTTTCTTTCTCTCCCATTCTTCCTTCTTCCTTCTCTTCCTCTCTGTCCTTATAATACTGCTGGCTCTGTTTGTATATATATATATATACCCTCTTCTCTGTCTAATTTTTTCTCTAAAATCTCCATGCTTCTTGCTGTGATCCCTCCATTTTCTTTCTTTACTATTCTCTCTTCCTTCTCTCCGTCTCTGTTCTTACTGTACACTCTGTTTGTATATTTCCTCACCCCTCGATCCTCTTTTTTGTCTCTGATTGTTTCTCCCAATCTCCGTGCTTTTTGCTACATGTGTTTCCTCCATTTTCTTTCTCTCCCATTCTCCCTTCCCTCTCTGTCCATTTCCTTACCCCCCGTCTCTTTCTCTCTCTCCCCAAGTGTTTCTCCCAAATTCCATGCTTATTGCTGTGTTCCCTCCATTTTCTTTCTCCCATTCTCCCTTTCTCCTTCCTTCCCTCCCTCTCTGTTTGTATATTTCCTCACCCCGCCTTCCTTCCCTCCGATTCTATCATTACTGTTCCTCATAATTCTGTTTTGCAGTCTCCCGCTGCATCATGCACAGAACACATCATAATTGTCTGAAACCAGACTACGTTAAGGACTTAGTCATCCTGTGATTCAGGCACTAAAGAGCAATGATTAGTCAATCACAGTGTGTCAATATGCCCCTAGCTAGCATCCACTCTCATACAGGAATGCAGAATACATCATTGTATTCACATAAATGTTCCATCAAACATCCACAAATCCACCACCAGCTGAAAATCAAACTCCCTAAAATGCTCCATATACATAATTCATTAGAGCATACACGTACTGTAGTTACATGTATAATCACTTGATGGGAAAAGAGTCTGAACTGTGTTCAAGATGGGTAAAAATGACCCCATTCTCTCCCTAGTTTATCCCTGCCACAGGGAAAATGATAAAAAATGAGTTGCACAAATCAATCACTTGTCTCATATCCACAATTGTTTTTGCAGTGCTCATACTGTACACTATGTTGTGTGTGTGTGTATTAATATATCCTACAAACGATGTCATCCGTTATTTTTTCAATCAGCTTTTAGCGCTGGAACTGCTCTCTTGCCGGTAAAGAGAATTGAGGTCGAATTCTGGGGAGAGGTGAAAAATATTATTTGAACGGTATCAATGTAATTATGCAAGTGTGGAAGAACATCAGAGAAAAAAATTGTTACCGGTACCTGAAAAGCATGGCTCTTCAAATGCCTTTTATATGACAACAGCTTAAAAATTAGGAATTTTATGCCACATATTTGTGTCATATATACATATTTAATAATAATAATAATAATATTATTGCTTATATAGCGCTTAATACATTGGGAATATCCGAGTTTCTAAGCGCTTTACATCTTTCTGTGTACAATGCTTGTTACTTTACCAAGACTGCATGGGCCAAATTTCTTATCATTTTGATGACTTCAGATCAACTTTGTCTGATCGATTCCAAACCGCAATCGCATGACCAAAACTCAACTTTATCTGTAAATGGAAAATGATTTGTATAGCATTTTAGTTGGTACAGTTGGTTGTTACATTCCCCAATCAAATCAAATCAAATCAAATTTTTAGTGTGACTTTATGCAACTTTGATTGTTTCTTTTTTATAAACATGTATATATTTATCAATATTTTGTGTTTAAAAGTGATTTATGTATTACTGAATCAGTTTTTTTTTTTCTCATAAAATAATAATTCA